TTCAGTTTTTTCGGTCTTGTTTTTTTTATTTTGGCTCTTTTGGTTATGTGCTTTCTTTGACCTGGATTTGGTTCTAATCGCGCCACGATTAGCCATTTTCGCCGGTGCGCGCGAGTCGCCGCCAATCTTGCGCTGGATCAGGATCTCTCATCTCTCATCTCTTCTTCTATTCTCTTTTCATTTCTGCTTGTTTAATCTGTGGATTTTCTAGTCATCGTTTCTACAGCCGCCTCCTTGTTCTCATCTCTACATTTGTAGACTATCTTGATATCCCGCGAAAACAGCCACAGAATATCTGTGCAGGGCCACGATTTCATTTAGAGGGTGCTGTTTTATGGATTCATTTAGCATAGATGTCTTTTGTCTTATCAGTCCAGAGCGGGGCCCCGGAGGCCCTATGACCTGCAAAGGTGAATTTTCTATTTTTCTTTGGGTTTAATACAATATCAGTTGACACATTTTGGGATGAAGCGAAACAAACTTGCTCAGTAACATTCCACCCTCATTTTGGCTTGATATTCAACCTCATCTCGACAGACAAACAACGAACGCGCCCTGTGGCACCTGTTACCCCACTTCTCCACCACCCGAGAGAGGGTTGCGTGGGAATATCGAGAAAGGAGTTTAATAGTCGATCGATAGATGTTTATTTTCCCGATATTGACGATCTAAGAGAACACGCTTAAGCGAGGATTGGGACCCGGCCGTGCATGCGAAGATGCGCCTGACTCTTCCTTCCTGCTGTTTTGCGGTTCAGCATCAAAAAGCGCAAGTCGAGTCACACGAAGCGGCTAACATAAAAGGATGTTGGCTTGGACATGGCGAGCTCCTCACCATGCTTGGGTCGCTCGACTTGAACCCATGCACTTGCTAGTGTACTTGCCAGGGGCTCCGCGAAGTTGGCGGTGGCAGTGGTAATGTGTGGAAGGGAGGAGAGGTGTTGATGGATCTGATTCGATAGCTAATTGCTAGGATATGGGACGTATGTTGGAGCTCTCCACTCGGTACTACTAGAATATATCGTTGTTGCGGTTCTATACAATTGTGTGTATAGCATGTATAGTAGTGGTAGCTTGGATATCAGGGAAAAGAGGGCGGGCGCCCGGGGGTGTGCGGGAAGTGGCTTGGTTTGGAAACTGAAAACGGCGTGACAAGGGATGATGAGGCGGAGGCCAAGAGAAGGGTGAAGGGAGTCATATCTGCACAGCTCTCACTACACTACACTCGATGGTTCTCGAGTGGAGTTGTTCAATGGGTTTACCTGCACGAGCCTTGTACGACGCTGGTGGTCCCCGTCGTGATGGTTGACGTTTGAGCCCAGGGCGATATTGCGACATTACGACATTACGGTGGGGAGAGATTAAAAAGCTGTTTAGATTGTGGGGGCAGGATCCAAACGATGACCGGGCTCGTCAGTTCTGCCAGTCCTGGCGCTGGTCTGTCATTGTGGCGGCCCAGACTCATTCCGAGGAGTCTCCGGTCCGATGTGGGGCTTGGATGACGGCCGAGAAGGGAAACAGCAGGATGGTCAAGGTAGGGGACGATGGTCAACTTGGCGCGGCTCCTGTGTTTGATAGGATTCTCGATACGAAATGTATGAAATTAAGAAATTACCCAAAGGGTCCGACCCCGGCCCCGGCACGGCAAGCGAAGTTGGGAGGAGGGGGCCGGGTGGGGTGGGGAATTCTCTCACTTTCTCTCCTTGGGTCTCTACTTTTTTTTTTCGTCACTTTCATTTTCGCGGTTCTTCCTTTGGGGGCCAAAGGGGAACAATGAGCATCATCGTGCTTTGACTGGACGAAGTGAGAGCTGGTATGTAATTGCCTGTTAAGTGAAGTGGAAAAAGGGTGACCTCACTTATGCATGCAAGCTCACCTGCACTTTGATTGGGGGTGCCTGCGCTTCTTGCGACTGGCTTGCTGGCGAATGCCGGCGCCAGGCGTGTGCATATCCCGAACCGGACTACCTGTTTTTGGGAGGGTGCGCGGGCTTGTTTAACGACCTTGCATGCTAGTTGTAACCTCGATGCAATACCATCGACGATATAGAATCCCGTGTCGGACTCGTGATGGGAAAACAAGTCATCTGCAAATCCTGGACATCAGTGCGCCGCTTACAGCAGTGTTTACTGACGATTGATCAATCACTGACTGTCTCATTAATTGGTGGTGAATTTTCATCTCCCCTCCGTTTTAGTGTCGGTATCAGATTGTTGAACATCTCATATCGGGCCATTTGTCACGAGCAAGTTAGAAATATAGACGTTGGATCCTTCGCAAGGAGATCTCTCAACTGGTTGCTAGCAAACGCAACACGAGAGTGAGATAGAGGTTTAAAAAAAAATCGTGCGTATTAGCGAACATGTTGCGATCTACACCCTCAGTTCAATTATCAATATCGGCGAATGGAACCTGCGTGTAAATGGCCTTGCGTTATGTGCGTACTGTATTGAGCCACCGATTGTTTCGGGAGGAACTGAGGAGTCGGGCCATGGACTGCAACCACGCGATGAATAGTAGCCGCTCGAGTTCGTTTGCTCTGGTTGGCGGAGGATACGAGAAACCCAGAAAGCAGGTACGGCAAGCCCCGAGCGTGTGGAGGTGAAGATCACTGTGAGACAAATGACGGGAGGGACCACATCTCTGGGAGGCTGCCTTCAGGTCTGTTTGGTGTTGAGGTGTGTGTGTGGATGAGGATGGCCAGGCACCCAGCAGCGGAGGAGCAAGGTTAGAGGGGTGGGTGACAATGACAGTTCCAAGTCCCGCAGATACGGGTTGATCCCGTTGGCACTGTTCTGTTCTCCCTGGACAGTTTTGTTTCCCTCTTTTTCGGGGTCCCTTCCCCCAAATGTTACGTTTGGGGGCTTCTTTCTTCTCCCTATCAATGAACGAAGTCTGGTTCATCCAAGGAGTGTGGTGGCGGTGGGGTCGGGAAAAGCCTCAACGGATGATCATGACCCCAACACCTTGTGTGTGTCGGGAATCCTAAAAATAGTGAAGGTGGAGAGGAAACTGGGAGGTTGTGGGCGAGGGTGCACCTGCCTGGTGGGACGCAGTCCCGTTGCCTGCGGACTTCTGTCCCCACCACTTGGGTTGGGGAAGGAGCGGGGGAGGGGAGGGGGTGTGAAGTTAGAGGAGGGGCAGGGCTGGATACAGGGCTGAAGCTGCGAGGAAGTTTAGGATACTGGATAAAGGCTCTCATTGGCTGGCCCTCCCTGCATGAGATTTTACACACTTCTCAAATCGTGCATGCCCAAATTGTGTGAGCTCGAAATGGCCGACGCTCATCGAGCCATCTTCCAAATGAAGATCTTCGCCCGAAGCTCTCACTCGTCCAAGACAGAGAAAGGGGGAGGTTTTTCTGGGTTCATTTTATCGTTTCCGCGCTCAATCTGGCTTCTAGGGGATTGTCTTTTAGGGGATAGGGCCTTTAGTGGCCCCTCTTTCACGGTTCACAACGCCCGCGCCCGCGAAAATGCCCAGGGCTAACATCATCTATCTTTGCACTCCATTTCGTCTTTCCGGGGTTCAAGGGGCTAATAATAGAGTGACCCGGGCAGGGCACACCACTAACGCCTCCATTTACTTTTACGGCCCGTCTTCATGGTTCGACTGATCGGCACCCATGCCCCTAGAAGGGAAAATCGCACAACCCAAGCCTCTTTCAGCCCACGGGCGAAACCCTTGGAATGGGCGCCGCCGTCCCCTTCCACCGCATCGGAAACGCCTTCTCTAGTTGGGAATAAGCGCGGCTGGCGGTTAATCGCTTGTTGGCCCTGCCCTGTAAGAGCGAACGTATCTGGACATCCACTCGCGAAATCCTCAAACGGTAGACGAAGTAAGCCGTATGGGGCGGAGAGGGTGAGAGCAACTCGGAGGCCGCCCCTTTTCCTGACGAGTCGCGCTTTGAGGAGGGCGCCTGTGGACATGAAATCATCGGTACTCTTCTTCGGGAAGTGGTTGGGAAAACCAGAGTCATCTCCCCACTTTCCAAGGGGAACGAGGGACCAAGGAAGGCAACTTCGGATGCAACCTGCAAGGAGAAATAGTGACGTGAGGCACCTAGCTCTTACTAGTTTCTTGGCGTTGTTATCAGGATCAGTAAAGAAAGAAATGGAGGGTGTCGATTGATGGGTTGCCCGAAGGAGGGGCGTCTCGACGTCAGTTAACTGTGCCTGCTAATCAAGGATCGGACGGAATACAGCGTCGCCGACCGCGAGGAAGACCCATACTTGGCGGATTGCATCAGGCGAGACTTGTTCGGTGTGCAGCAGGTGAGATTTTAGCTGTGGCTCATTCGGCTCCTCGCTTAGTGGTTTGCCGCGGTCAGAGCTTGGAATGTAACCATCACCCACACGCACTCTTCTATCACGTCGGTATGGGCTGCCTCCAATATCATCCTGATCCTGCTTCATCTTGATCTGAGTTTGTTGCTGCAAAAGGTATCCGACTGATTTCTGGGGTTTTATTTTATTTAATTCATTTTTAATTCCTTTTACCCCTGGGTGGATGGGGGAGGAAGTCTTGGTTATGGCACAACATGGTGTGGCTGTTGCTGGCTGTTGTTGTCTTCCTCCAGGCTCCCATTTCTTGGAAAACCGTACTATTATGTAAGCATGATCGAGGTGTCTCTCACAGCTCCACCACCGCAACCTTTCGGAGTGGGACTCACTCGGCCGGTGGAGTGGCAGAAAAAAGAATCCCACCGCCTTTGCGATGAGAGGAAGATTGAAATGCTTCATGGCACTCATTACACTGCGCTAGGAAACAACACAGTTGGCAAGGTCCTCTTGGCTCCTCGTGGTAGTTGCAAAAATATACGAATTCTCTCCTAATTATATTCTATTCTTTTCCTTCCTGGGCATTTTGAACCACCTTGGTGCACCGTCCACATTCACGCCGTCTCTCTCACAAAGAGCGAGTTTGGCCCAACCCCTCCTCCAACCCGGGTGTTTGTTCCTTGAACAGACACATTCACACACCCAACACCCGTACGCAGCCATGGCGAATTTAGCCCCCGCAGACTCTCCCGAGGAGAGCTTCCACATCCTCAAGATCGCGATACAACCCACGGCGTCCTACAACGTGCCTACCCACCACGAACTCCGCCTCCGCCGCAACCGTCCCGCGAACCCCACCGCCGCCGACGCCCGATCCCTCTTTCTCAAAACGTACCCGCCGACACCACCGAGGCCCATCTCCGCGCGCTATTCGCCTCCTCGTCGGCGCGGGCCGCTTCGAGTCGGCCAGTTTCCCGACGAAGGGGGCCGGACGGCCGCCACCGCCACCTCGACCCGGGCCACCGCGCGGGGCATCGTCACGCTCGACCCCGCCGCCGCCGTCAAGATGGCCGGCATGGGCCGCAAGCGGAAGCGAGCGGACGAGGAGGCTGCCGAGGCCCGTCGGGAGCTCGAGGCCCGGCTGCCCGAGATCTGGACGCGCAAGCTGCACCGCAGCGGAGCCACTGCCGTGGCGCTCCTCGCCGACGAAAAGTCGGTTCAACTCGTTCTCAAGGCCGTCGCTAAGACGGCCCGCACCCAAAAGTACCCCGTATGGGGCGAGGGCGTCCCCACGGGTGCGCCTTCCCTCGGCGCGCCCTGGCTGCAGGCGCACCTGACGCTGACGCGGGCGGACAAGGTCGAGACCCAGCGTGCCGTGCACGCCTTCTTCGAGGCGTACAATGCGCGGGAGAATGAAGCGGCCGAGGCCGCCAAGAGGCTGCGCAACGAGCCGGACGAGGATGGCTTCGTGACGGTGACGCGCGGCGGACGCACGGCGCCGGCGACCCAGAGCTCGGCCGAAGAGGCCAGGGCCAAGATGCTCGAGAAGGAGGCGCGCAAGAAGGAGGAGATGAAGGGCTTCTACAGGTTCCAGCTCAGGGAGATGAGGAAGGACGAGCAGTCCAAGATGCTGAGGAGATTCCAGGAGGACAGGAAGAGGGTGGAGTCGATGAAGGAGAAGAGGGGCCGGTTCAAGCCGGAGACGTAGAGATGAGTTTGATCATGGGGTTGAAACGGATGAAGCTCGCCATGCTGACGGGGAAGGAGAAAAAAGGCCTGGGTGAGGGATCTACACTTTCTATTCATATCATGACAATTGGCGTTCCAAAAGGATTCGGCTTCCAAGTAAAAAGAAAAAGACACATACATCCAAAGAGAAGATCCACGCAACTGCCACGTAGTAGTGGACTGGGGCTCAGTGGTATTACGCTGAAAATAATTATTTTCGCTTGTGCATCGATCTCCAAAGCCCGTCCCATAGCCGCTGTACACAGGGTATAATATTGTAAAAGTCTGCAACGCCCGGAAAAGATTCTGAACGACAAAACCATACCTCCCAAGAAGAAAACCTTTATCCTATCTCCCAGCCTCGCCCATCTTACAACTCCTCTAGTCTCAACGGAAACTCGGGGAGAGGGAGCCGGCCATACCGCAGCTCCACCGACCTCTCCGTGAGGTAGTTCCTCAGGCTATCGTAGGGGGCCCCAATGATTCTGTCCTGATAGATGACCTTGACGGAGCTTCCTAGCTGTACTGCGCCTTCGATGATGGCACCGATTGTGTATATCTCATCTTCGTCGTGGGTGACCTCGAGGACTTCGAGGCTGGGGAAGGACGCGACCAGGGCAGCGAGGTCTTTGATGCTCGTGCTGTGCCAAGGGCCAGGGGCGGTCCGTATAAGCCGATGCGGAAGGGCTCATTCCCTAGGAATAGTGACAGGGACCGCAACGATTCGCACCCCTTGAGCCAACTGAACTGGCCCAGGTAATCGCGGTTTTGGGTCTTCATGGAGACTCTGGTCGCTAGAGTGCGGAGGGTTCCCGAGGAAGCGGCCTGCTCCGCTCCCTGTCGGATACACTCGATTCCAGCCACTAGCGGGTTCGAGTTGTCGCCGTAGAATAGGGGAGGTACATGTGCTGGATCCTGGACAAGGCTCCCTCGGCCCCCTGGATCGGCAAGTCTTGTGCCGCGAATCCGGTCATGATTTCCTCAGGAGGGCCCTTTGCGCGGCGCCTAGACGGTGGAGCACGCGCAGGTGGCTGAGAGGGGCACCGACAAAGGGCCAGTAGACGTCAGGGCCGACGACCAGGGATCGGAGGCTGGGCCATGGAAGAGCTGGGAGAGGGGCCGGGTCATCCACGGCGATTGGCCGCAAGAGGCAGTGGGTTACATCGAGCCAGAGCTGCTCTAGCTTGGGCGTCTTGTCCCACAAAACAGCGAGCTCGACGAGCTGCGCATGGCGGGCACCCACGGTATTACGGGCAATGGTGACCTTGATCGTTTCAACGATCTTGAGGGATTTCAGATTCGCCATGCGCGGCCACGACGGGCCAAAGTTGACGTGATCCGAGGTGATGCATACACTTTGTAGGTTATCGACGTTGCGCGTAAGGATATCTACGAGGAGGCGGTTGGTGTCGCTAGGTCCAGATGCACTATGCCTTTGGAACATGTGAGACTTTAAATTGAGGGTTTCAAGGTTCGAGAGCGGCCAGCTCTCGCGCGAGAGGCTACTGCCGCCGTTCACCGGCGAGCCCTCTAGATCTAGATGGGTCATCTTACGCGAGCCGTTGAGGAGCGCGGGGAACTTGTCTTCGAACTTGAACTTGTTGGTGTTGGTGATGGTCAAAGATCGGATATCGTTGCCGCTGTACTTCACCATCCGACGCACTGAGTTCAGGCCAGCAATGGATCGGCCCTTGGGTTCAAACCGCAGGACTCTCCATAATTTGGCCTGACCGGACAAGTACCGAAACCACCGCTTCGATACGGGCAGGCAAGAGCTAGTATGGGTGATTAGTATTTCGAGACTGCAGAAGCCATCCCAACTCGGGAAAGGGAAGGGAGGGTGTACCTTAATTGGCGTGTGTTGAACAAGAGAAAGATATTCTCTACTATCTCCGGGGGAAGCTGAATCGGGTCTTCCCTGTAGAGTTTGGCGTGCAGCGGTTGTCTCACCAAGAGAAGTTTCTAACGATTCAGATCAGCCTTGTACCAGCAAGCCTAGACAAGGGGCCTAGGCAAAGGGAGCTAGAGGAAAGAGTAAAAGAGAAGTGAAGTAACGTACCTTGAACCGGTCATCGTTCGCCATGCCCGCCCTCCGACCTATCTGTACACCAGCACAGTAGACCTGCCAGGCAAGCATGTGGTTGCCCTGCCGCCGCGCCACCTTGCCGAACCGGAGGTAGGCTTCAAGCCTATGCGGGTACAACTCAAGCGCCCACTGGCATCGCGCCTCGCCTGCTCCAGCTTGTCAAGCGCGTCATAGCAGCCAGAGCGGTAATCGAGGGCTTGGGTGTGCAAGGGGTCGTCGCATCTAGAGAAGAAGCGCCCGGGGACCTCGCACTTGCACGGTCGCATGATCTCCTCGACGAGCCCGTACGCCTGACCCTGCACGGGGCCGTCATCATAGTTCTTGCAGATGCATTTGGCACGCGAACGGTCACCAGCGTCCTCAGCACATGGACACGAGTTGATGACCTGGGGGTTCTACGTTAGCTTACTACGTCCGGTAAGGGTTTGAGTGCGTGTGAGAGGAGTGAGAGGCCAGTCGTCGAAAAGCTGGCGTAGCCCCTGGTTTCTTCTTCTCCCTCTTTTTTCTTCTGTTTTTCCCTCTTTCCTCTAACTTCCTCACCACTCATGGAGGGACTAGTACGAGGGAGACTTGGAAAACGACAAACCTGGCTGAAGAACACGACACAGTTCTTATAGCGTTGCGCTGCGTAGGCCTCTCGTCCCCGCTCAAAGGCTGCTTTCCGAGCGCTGGCGGACGGCGCACCGTCTCGGGGCATCGCAGTCCAGAATAATAATAAAAAGTCTCCTGCCCTATCGAAAGGCTTGGGGATGGGGGTGGTGATATGCCGTGCTGGTCCTAGGATGAAAGGCGCAGGGGGATGGAAAATGCTATGCTTTCTTTTCCGTCAGCGTGGTGGACATCTCATCAATTATTATCTGCCGCCGAGGCCCGTGAGATGCAATTCCCACCACATGCACTCTAAGGAGTAGCTAATCTAAGCAATTGAACAAAATCAAATCGTTCCCAGCGCCTGTTCTAGCACAATTTGGTGCAGGCGCAAGTGCACTGCAACCCAACACCAACCCACGTGATGGCGTGTAACGTCTACCAAGTACATCATAGCATTAGCGCATGGATTGCACTGGCAAACCTCAGCTTGGTGGGGTCGCGCCTCATTCCTTCCCCAATCCTTGCGCCAATCCATCACCTTGGCATCGCAGCACGCGAAACAGCAAGCAGGCATAAAAGATGCAACGCCGAACATCATATTCGCCATTTTTACCCTTTCTCACATCGAATGGTGGAACGGCGTTGACGATTAAAGATGAGCGAATATTGCTTTTTGAATATTAGAATGCCAACAATGTGTACATGTAGTTCGAGGTATCAAGTCATCATCATCATCAGAGGCAACGCAGGTACTCAAGAAACAAGGAAGAAGAGAAAAAGAAGAAAAGCCCCCCAAAAACAAAAATGGCCAGACCCAAAACCGGACCCTTCCCTCCCGTTGCGTTCCACCTCTAATATATCGACCGGCATGAAGATTCGTTCAGCAAGAAAACAAGCAAAAAAAAACAGAATAAAGACATCATGGCTCATTTACTTTGCGGGTGAGGCAGTCACGGCTCCCGAGATCAAGCTCTCGAGCTCCCAAGGGCTCAGCGTGCTCCTCCTTCTCGACGCCGCCTTGCCCACCCTCTTCTCCCTCTTCCTCTTCACAGGTTCGCCGCCCTCTCCGTCCTCTGCAGTCTCTACAGCTCCCCCTCGGGAGCATCGACTCGCGGAAGAGGGAGAGGGTCCTTCTTGACCGGATCACCGACATCCTTGCTTGGCTCGGCCGCAGCAACCACGTCCTCCGTAACGGCGGCCGGCGCGGGCTCCGGCTTGCGCTTCGTCATACGCGCCGCCTTGAGTTTCGCCCTTACGCGCGCAGCATCAGCCTCTCGCTCCGAGGCCGCAAGCTTGGCTGCAATAGCCGCCATGGTCAAGGGGCTTTGTTGTGGAGCTGGGTCGGCGAGCCTCTTGGGGATGGCGCGGGATTGAGGACGTTTCACGGATGCCTGTGCTGGAGCCGTCGCTACCTTGGATTGTGTTCGCTCTGCAGGGCTAGTCGCCTTTCTCGCCGCTACTGTTCTCGTTGGCCTCGAAGAGGTCGCCGTGGGTCGTCCTGGTCCACTTGTGGGCGCTTCCTTGGGCTTAGCGACGGGGGCTGGCGCGGCCTCACGTTTACCGTTTGTGTCCGCGTTTTCGTAGGCTTCTTCGACGGGCTATCGAGAAGGAGGCTGTCCAGCGAGGAAGCCGAGGAGCCTAGGTCTAGCTCCTCAACAACGGGTCCCTGTGCCTTGGCAGCAGATATGGATGCAGCGACCGCTCGGATCTGCCTTCGCGCCGAGGGCTCCTTCCGCGAGGGCCCGGACTGGGGCTCGGGTGTGCCTTCAGCGAGTTCGCACGCGTCGTCATCCTCCGCGATTCTAGAGAGATCAATAGACTTGGCACGCGGCCGGGGATCGACCGCGGCTCCACGGTTTCCTGCAGAATCCGAGTCCTTTAGGGGCTCAGCTGCGGAGGGGCAGGTAGGGGAGAGGAGTCGATCATCGACTGCGTGGGTGGTATGGCGGCCACGGACTGCTCCAAGATCTGCACGTTGGGTTCGTCGACATCGTATTCGTCAATGTTGATCTCGTCGTCGTAGACGCTTGATTCGCTGTCGCTGCCGTCATCCGCCAACTCCAACGGATCAGGATAAGCGGGCATGGTTTCATACGTCGGCACCGGGCAGGAGAGTTACGCAGAGCATACTCGCTGGCAGCCGCCGTCGCGCTGTAATAATGACCTTGCTGCACTCCCATCTCTTGGACGTCCTCTTCCTCTTCCTCCTCCTCCAAAACGGCGGGGAGGCGGAGATCCATGCCGTGCGCGGTCTCCTCGACATCCTTGACGCGGACCGGGCTCAGCCGAAGGCCCATCTTGAGTTCCTCCTCGTTGACGGGCCGCCCATTAGATGCTGTGCGCTTCCTCCAGCCATCAATAAGGTGCACGGCCTCCTTCCATCTTGTTTCCATCTTCGTCCAGCCATCGCGTAAGCGGCTAATCTCTTCCTCACGCGTTACGACTTCCTCAAGCGGCACAAACGATGGGTTAGTGAGGATGGTGCGAAGATGGTTCAGTATGTTGTGCAGGTCGGATTCGAGCTCGTCGACGCCAGAAACAACATCCGAGGCGTGGCCGTCGCGCTGCGCAACCTCGCTCTCCCACCCGCTCATTGTCTTTAGTTCGTCGCGCAGCTTTCGTAGGCGGAGAAGGACGGTCTCATTCTCCTCGCTGAGGCTCTTGGCAAGCTCCGTGAGAAACTCGTTTGTTTCGCTGCGGAGATCATACGAATCGTTGGCTGTAATCCCTGCTTGGCTCGGCGAACCCTTCTCCAAACCGATATCGCCTGTAACGGTAATCACTGTGACGGCAGGGTTCTTTACGGTGCCGCGGGCCCTCGTAGCCTCGCCCAGCTGCTTTTTCAGGGTATCGATCTGGCGGTCCCTCCGCCTAACCTCGGTCGCGCATGAGGCGCGAGTCTGGGCGACGAGGGTCTTGGCCCGGGCCACCTCCTCCTTGAATCCCCGCGCGCTAGCTTCCGCAGTCTTGAGCTGAGTGCGGAGCGCAGACTCGGAGGCCTCGGCGAGATTGAGCTTCCGCTCTGTTTCCACCAACTTTTCGGTCGTCCGCGTGATGTCGCTAGTTTGGCGGAGGTTGTCGGCGCGTAATGTGCGCATCGCAACGGAGAGCGACTCGCGTTGTTCAGCATCCCTCTACAGAACCGGTAACTTGTGTTAGCAACCAGAATCGGCAGATGTGGCGGGCAGAACCCCGCCGAGAAGGCTGCTACCCATCAAGGCTCACAGGCTGGGGGTGGGGAATGGGATTTGAACTGTTAGGTTAGGCTTACATCTCGGCGCAGGATCAAATCGTTAACAATGCCCATGACGCGGGCCATGGCAGCGGCAGTGCCGCCATCATTATTCGCGGGGTTCGAGAAATCAATAGTCTCTCCATCCCGTAGGAGACCCCTCGAAAGGAGTTGGTTGTTGATATACAGCGACGCTGTGCGGAGATTTTCTACATCCGCCATGACGAGCGCGATAGTGCCGTGTGCTCGTCCTTGAAAACTGCGATCGCGGGGCTTTCACTCGTTAGTATCGTGATATTCTGGGATAAAGAAGGTCCAATGCCCTCATAATTGGAGGCGAGATGCCGGGGGTGTTTCGCGATTGAGTTGATCCGGCCGGAACCTGTAGATGAAGGAGGGCCAACGACGAGAATCTTGGTTGCGCGCGATCCGCGTACTTTGTCAACGAGTATCGTGCAAACAGGAAAGTGAAAAAAAAAAAAAAAAGATAGCATATATCGATTCACAAAGTCGATAAATTGGTAGCTCCCACAAGCAGGAGACCGTTCTCGCCTAATAAAAAAGGAACCCTCGGCACCAAAGTCGTGACAAGCACAACAGACATTTGGATTGGTTGTGTATCAACTTTCTGGTGTTTCCAGGGCTGCGGACTTCTGAGTTGCTGCAGCAACGACAAGTCGGACCAATGATATGGAAGGATCTCCAGGGTCTGGTGGTGTCGAGCAAGAGGTGGGGGACCACACCGAAGGTTGTGAGGTGATGAGTCAGCGGTTCGACTCTTGCCTGGGAAGGATCAGTGGGCATATCCAGCATCACCACCAAGAACTCAACCAGTGTATCCAATTCACAGCAAAGTACAGCCCTTGCTACTAGCCGAAGAAGCACGGGATGCAAGTTGGTGAAAATAAGCCGTGAAGCGTCACACCAAAGGATGGCTAGACCACTCTTACAAATGCTAAAGAGCGCTTTAAACCCCCTCGCAACAATACAATAGCTCATTTGCCTTGTCTTTCTTTGGTCTTGGACGCACGAGAGGGCGGGGCAAGCAATAGAGTGCAGAGCAAGGCAACATTGAACCTTGGTCACTCTCACGAGCAACCTCACCCCGCTCCCCGTCGGGCAACCTCGTGCTACCCCAGGAAACAAGAACCCAGTTCCCGCTTGGTTACGATAGAGCCGACATGGTTGAATCGAGGCGAGGGTGGGCCAATGGAAAGTTAGCGAGCCGGTGTCCGGTCCCCATGCCTTGAAGAATGTACATCCCTGTAGCCTATGATCGTGCTTAAAACCCAACACCGGTATCTACTTTCGCTGTTGTCCCTGCCGCCGATGGGCAGCGTGCGGGCCGACACAGCTCATCGGCTATCTCTAGCCCTTTTTAAACCTACGGACCTCGGCGGCCCCCTTGCTTCTTTCTCATTCCAGATTCTACTTCTTTTTCGCTTTGGCACGAGCGCCTTTCCCAGCTTCACTTTCCAGTGATACATGCAGCCTTCAAATGGACGCAAGAGTCGCACCGTACCATCCAAGTCGTTTCTAGTCTCAGCCGCCTGCAAACCTCGTCAAAGACCGGAAAGGCAAAGGATGGTGGCACTAGATGTTGCGGCTCAAGCAGAGGCCACATGGATCAATCTGGGGAAGCCGCCGCATCACCAACCGCCAGTATGAGTCGCACTTGGAAGTTCCGACTAATAGACTTAACGACGGATCGATCTCTCCTGGCTCGGCATTGCATATCAATCCCCAACCCTTCTCGAGCTACAAGACCCCCAAAAGGAGTAAAAAATGGAATAAGGAAGATAAGCATAAATATAGACAGAAGGGATCTGCGCTACACAGTTTGTCCTTCAATGGTGGCTGCAAACGATCGCCCCTACATCAGATGACCCCGAACCTACCTTTTCTAGTTTCTGGGAAGGCGTTGAAGCCCTTCTCAGGTTGTGAGGCGGCCGGACATTTTCAGCATAGGCATCAACCAAGATCAAGAGCACCGTTCCGGCTTCAATAGGACAATACTCCCTCTCTAGCTCTCCGCTGCCACCGCATTACCCCGCCTCAACCATGAGATGTGGCTTGTGATTTTAAATGGCCTGTTTTAGCCCCGGCTATCCTAAAAGATGCGGCTCCGCTCGAGTCCGGGGTCCGCACAATGGTTATCAGCATGCCGGGGTTGTAGCACGGCAAGGGCGCATTGGCAGGGACACAAAAAAACCCCGGTATGCGGTTTCGCTGAGGCTATAGGCAGCGGCCGCAAGACGTGGTCTCGATCAAATGTGTCATTGTTGGGTAGGACACGTCTCCGAGCGTTGGGTGAATAAGTGTGGCTTTCTCGCTCTTCTCCAAGTCCTTCAGCTTACTTCCATTCTCGTATTCTTTCTCTCCCACGTCGAGCGTGCACAGTCAATTTGGGATGATGAACTTGCACCATTTGCCGGTCGAGATCATGTTGTACATTGCCGACTATCTCGACCCAAACGACATCTTCCAATTTAGCCTCACATGCAAGAGCCTTCAATACCCCATCTTCAACTGGTATATTTGTCGAACTCTGCTCCTGGTATGGCCAATCCATGATCACCCAGCACGGGATTCTCGGGCTACGTGCTAACAACGGTCTCAATCCAGAAATATGCCCCATTCTCACCTGAGGCCCTCGCTGCGTCGCGAGAGGTGGATTACTCGAGGGCTTTCAGAACTCTGTGGAAGAGACGCCGAGCCACTAGAATGGCCCAGCCATACGCCGCGGCTCTGATGGCGACGGAGGCTGACAGCTACATCTACACAAATGGCGTCCTCTGCTACACGGCGCATCGATCCCAGCTCCGGATCCGCGACATTAGGAGCTCTTCCACGCATGAAGTTGTTATCAACGTGCAGAGCATGCTCTCTTCTGTTCCCGAGCGTTTAAATCTTCGGAAATTTCAGTTTTATCCCATCTACCACGCCCATGGTATCCTTTGCTGCATCTACTCGAGCAGCTACATCGGCTCTACTGTACTCCTAGTCTTGCGACCGACGACTTCTGAAATCGTGGCAACGTGTCCAATACCACTAAATCAGCATGTAGTCGTGCGAAATACCGACAAATTTCTGCTCTTCTTCGCATTCTCCCCTATCAAGACTCGCGTGACGGTCACTGGATCGTCTACCAGCTAAATCTTGAAACGAAACAATGGCTTTCCGAGGTGAGCCTAGGAAATATTCGCGGTCGCGAAGTCGGTAAGGATGTAAGCTTTGAGATTTTTGATGATTATCTATACGCCGTCTCGGTGCACGAAGCCCATCATGAGGTTGATCGGTCGGATACATCCTGCGGCCGACGCCATTATCTGTTACGCTTTCCCCTAGGCCGCCCGGAGCTCTCCCAGCAGCATGTCTTGCCGCTTCCGGAATCGGGCAGTTGCTACTTCTCCGAGCTTGAAGACCATCGGTGGAGGCAGATGGAGATTTCCAAGGACGAATGTACCGGTCACTTAGGCATCCTAGAGCTGCGGCGCGAGTTTCTCGCCCAGGGATACCGATCGCGCCGCACATGCTACAGGCAGCGAATCTACATGGACTCTCCATCCCGTTCCAGCCCCAGTGATCGCCCTGACCTCTTGCACACTTACCGACCCGATTCTAACCTACCGCGTTCGTATCGCATGCCCGAGGCCGTGGACAATTACAGGGACAGCCACTCTAACCGCACCATCCACCACGGTGACACCTCCGAGACTGAGCCCAGTTTTCCATATCACCAGTGCTTTATACGCTCGTATTTTCCGTTCTGCCAGAGCTTCGTTGATCTCGTCTCGTCTTCCCCTCGCGAGTCCGGGGAACCCTGTAATCTACGACTCCGCATAATGTCGAGTCAGCGGCGGTGGGCGTCACGGCATGGATGCGATGACGACCTGATTCCTAGCGATACCGCAGACGAGAATTCCGTGCGATTCTGGCCCCCGGAACGCCAGGAACCGGGTCAGAGTCAGGGCCAGGGTGCGGATAGTCTCTATAGCGGAGATTATCTGTCGCTGCTCAACGAGGTACTCAATCCCAGCGGCTACTCGGGCGAGGTGGATGCGACTGTGGACTATAGTTCCATCGTGTACGCCATATCCGAATCCGCCGGAGGTGATGAACGCAAACCCACTCGCAAGGCCTTGATTTATATAGGCTTCGACCCATCCGTAAACTTGCACAATCTCCGGCCATCTCCCACAGCCTCTGCAGACAAAGGTCACGTATTGCCATCGAAAAGCAGGCCGGCACCCACCGAGCCAACTGTGACTGTGCTGAGTAATTGGGTGTATTTGGAAGACTTCCGGGACTCTGGACACAAGTGCCAAAAAGGCTTCGATTTCTTTTCTTAGATAGGATATGACCAACTCTTTTCTGTCTTCCATAATTTGCTCCTTCCCCTCTATTTCTTGCTTTCCTTTGTTCTTTTTCATTCCCGCCTTATCTTTACATCTATCTTTCTAGTTTTGGGTTCAAGGATACATATCAGCATTTCTCTTTTCCTTCCTATATTTTTTTAGTTTTGCAACGGGTGGCGGTGGACGAGGGGAAAGGTAATAGAAATACCCCATCTGTAAACTTAGAGAATATATATGAGGTTGTGCTTCCCTTATTTCCCTGGTACCGCATCTACTGATACACGTAGAGTATGGCAAGATCCGTGGAAGGAGAGTAGATGGGTTGATGGTATCGCAATATGGTCTGGTCATTTTTACTCTCTAGTTGGCTGGTGGGCGGCTACACCTTCTACCTCCTCATCTTTGGCAACCACCGCCGATCCAGCCCGTTGATTGATATCTCTTCAAATCCACTCTTTAATGCAATTCCAAACCTGCCCAAGCCATCCATGGATTGATCTATTATTCCCCAACTCCCCAGGTTTCCCTTTTGGGAACCAAACAAGGCAACTCAAAGAAAGCATGGCCGCAAACGCGCAAACGAAGCAAAAGGGGGAAATGGGAAAGGAGAAACGGAAAGAGAGAAAAAGAATGGGAGGCTGTATCACAGCAGCGCTGCAAATTGGCACCCGTGGTGTTATACGAAGGGATAGAGTCCTGCTTCTTTTAGCACCATCACGTATAAAACCGTGGTGGTGATGCAGAGCATAATCATGTGCAGAGGTTAGACCCTTAATTGAGGCGCACATAGTTTCCTAAGAGTGGCCCATGTGTTAGAAAAAGAGCTGGCGCCGGCTTATAGTTGCGGTAAGAATGGATGGACAATTATACCTGGAAAATCGCCCTGCTTCCCATTTAACTTTCCGGTCCACCACTCGTTGTCATTAGATGTCCTCTTGATGATTTGGATGGCATCTCCAGCCTTGAAGGACAAGTCGCCTTCAGCCTGAGCGGCAAAGTCATATAGAGCGGTGACAGTTTCGACCGCGGGTGTCGGTGCGGCGCTGAGGCGCTTAGGCTTAGGCTTGGGCGGAGGTGGTTTCGATTTGGCTGCGGCCATAGCTGCAAGCCCGGGGCTAACGCCGGCCGATGACGGGGGTTGGGGGAGTAGGGAGGAGGGGGATTCTCAACAACGTCAGATTGTCGGTTGTAGGTGAGGCGCGGGGCTGTTGACGAAGGGCCCGCTTCTATCGCTAGTGGTCTCTTCCCCTCTTCGAGCGCAGGCTTGCTTCCGTACTTGGGAGGACGTTTCTGGCCCGTTGTCTTGAACTTGCAGATCGAAAGCAGCTCGGCCTGTTCCTGGATATCGCCACGTTTCTTTTGGAAGGCTTCCTCGACGTCAAGAGTAAGATCAAAGTAGCCGATATCGCATTCCTGCATCTTGATATGTAGTGTGTAAAATATGTTCAGCTGCATATAGTAGAATGACTGGAACAGAGGCTGGATAAACTCGCGCTCGAGGCGAAACAGCTGAGGGAGCTCTTCCTTTAGCAGGTCGTTGAAGTAGTTGAACTCCTGAGTCGAGAGCTCCACGTCGTTCTCGGCTTTCCACATGGCCTTTTCGTCCTTTGCCGTTCGATCCTTTTTGTCTTGCAGCTTCTTTAGGGTCGTGCGGTGTCGATCGTAGTCGAGCTTCTTGTGCTCCCGCTTCATGACGCTCTTTCGGATGACCTTGATCACGTCTAGGAGCTCATTGGCGGGGCGGATGATTCTGCTATCTATCATCTCCAACTCAGGCTGCAGCGTTTCCTGCAAATCTTTGACAACCAACTCGTACTCCTCGCAAGCGCGGATGCCTTCGGGGTTCCCCTCGGCCTTGAAACTGTCTGGATCGGACATTCGACCTGATATCGGCTTGTATATTTCGGTCATGGCTTGACTGAAATCGATCTGGTGGCTTAACATGCCGTTGATGGCCTCGAAGTATTTTTGCTTTCATCGTGGAGTTTCTTGGTCTCCTTCTCGAGCTCCTGGAAGCGGAGTTCGGCATCTGAGTAAACGGCATCCTTGGTGTGCTCGCCAATATTAAACTTGACTTTGAATTGTTGAGGTGCCTAAAAGAGTATAAAACAAGGACGTGTTAGCAGGTAAAGCCGCGCTCACAGGAGTGCCCCGTAAAGGTGTGGTGGCTCGTCGCGCGATGATCATGGGCGAGTGGGCCGGGCAGCTCGGATCAAACTCTTGTGTGGTGCTGGGAGGGGCCATTGAAACCATACCCGAACGACACTCTTTTGAAAGCCTTTGAAGCTCATTTCTCTCTCCGCGGCAGGGAATGGCAAGAAGAAATTCCAGTCGAATCCGCAGAAATATTGGGAATGAGATGCGATGAGGAGTTTAGGGAAAGTCAAAAGTGTATGACGAGGCAATGTCAGGGAAAAATGGGCTCAGCTTTTGGGAATCAGACTGTATTTTAGTGATGATGGGGTAAGTCCCTTGGCATTCTGAGCATGACGACGATGTTGTGGCGGTGCGTGTCCTGGAAGCTTGATCAAAGCCCACGTCGCCGACCTCCAGGTACCCCCATTCTTGTGTGCCCCTCCTTCCTTCCTCGTTAAGGCTACCGAAAAGCCAGCTCTCCCCAGAAACGTGGATTGTGGCGCCCCCTTGTACCCTCTAGGACATTCGTGGCTGGAGACAATGACGGAAGGCCCCCAGCTCAGCTCAAGGTCAGCCAAACTTCCATATTCCTCCGCAAATCCTGGCGGACAAGTCCCCGCAACCCCCTCTCAAAGGAAGGAACATGAAGCATCGATTCAAGAGCTCGATTCTCGGTTAGCAGCCGGTAAAACGGGTTCATTTTTGTGTATCAATAGCACGGATTCAGTAAAAATTCAGAAACCCTCACGTTATTCAGAGCAGGAAAATGGATTATTCAGCTGGAGAATGAGTCTTGGCTGTGACTTGTTCATCGCCGAGATACCCGATGGTGGCGATGTGGGACAATACAAAGAGACACCAGCCTAATAGACCAGTCGTAACGATTTATCTCTTTCCGGCATTTTCTTGGGCACTACTCTTTGCTTGTGATTGATAGTGTTCAATGGCTCTAGGGTCCAGGAATTTCCCGCCCTTGTTAGCAGCTCCGCTTTTTCCATACTTTGGCCGCAAGCCAACACATGGCATAGCTGCATCCGGTAGTGAACAGCGCGCTCTGCCTTCAAAAGAGGCGAGCACAATTATCTTACGTCAGTGACCGCACGAGCCAGGACCCGCTGAAAAAGGAGATATCGGCCAATCAAGCGAATTTCCCGAACCAAAGCCGTCCTCCGATTGATCGGTGATAGCAGCTTCAGGCCTGTAACCGCAGCGAGACAGAGGGAGAAAAAAATGGATCGAAACGTTCTCATAAAAAGAAAAGCCCCCCAAACATTTTTCATTCCTCCTCTTTTTTCCCCCTCCCTAACCGTACTATAGCACCGCCCTTCCACGCCAACTCGTGGACAATTATCATGGCGAGCTTTGCTTCATCTGGAATCAGGCAGGCAGGACGCCGTCTCTGTGCCCAGAATACTTTATCGTCGAGACTTTTACAGCGCCATTCCCGCATTGCCACACCAGCTCTGCAAACTGTCGCTCGCCGAGGTTACGTGTCCGAGTCGAAGAAGGATGAAGCTCAAATCTTGGGCGACGTCGCCATCAAGGTAAAGAACCCGGCTTTTCCTTCATCATCGCACGCCGCTGGCCAAGCTCAAAATGCTTCCGTCGATGCAATTTCCAGTATGTTGAACGAGGCGGTGACCATTTCGCCAACCCACGAATCCATCCGCCCCCTTCTCATCTCGTCCTTGCTAACGCTCTCACTAGGTGTTGTGAAGGATGCTTCGATATTAGAACAAGGGGGTCGCCCGATCTATCTTGACATGCAGGCGACCACCCCCGTTGATCCCCGAGTCTTGGATGCCATGCTTCCTTTCTATACGGGTGAATACGGCAACCCCCATTCTCGGACGCACGCGTACGGTTGGGACAGCGAAAAAGCTGTTGAGGTGGCCCGCTCCCACATCGCAAAGTTGATCGGGGCCGACCCCAAGGAAATTATCTTTACCAGCGGTGCTACTGAGAGCAACAACATGAGCATCAAAGGCGTCGCCAGGTTTTTCAAGCGATCTGGAAAGAAGAACCACATCATCACCAGTCAGACGGAGCACAAGTGCGTGCTTGACAGCTGTCGCTACCTCCAGGATGAGGGCTTCGAAGTGACCTACCTCCCCGTGCAGCCGTCGGGTCTCATCAAGCTCGAAGACTTGGAAGCTGCTATCCGACCCGAAACTTGCCTCGTCAGTATCATGGCAGTGAACAACGAGATTGGAGTCATTCAGCCCATGGCAGAGATTGGAAAGTTGTGCCGAAAGCACAAGGTCTTCTTCCACACTGATGGCGCTCAAGCCGTTGGCAAGATCCCTCTCGACGTCAACGCTATGAACATTGACTTGATGTCCATCTCGTCGCACAAGATCTACGGCCCAATGGGCATCGGTGCTTGCTACGTCCGTAGACGGCCTCGCGTTAGATTGGAGCCTATCATCTCTGGTGGTGGCCAAGAGCGAGGTTTGAGGAGCGGTACCCTTGCGCCGCCCCTTGTTGTTGGATTCGGGAAGCCTGCCGGATCGCGAGTGCAGAAATGGAGGTAAGAACCCGTCTTTTGATTAAGATTCCTTTTCTTTTTCTCGGTGCCCACACCAGCTCCTCACGGTTTCCCTGGTGTTCTCAACCTTCCTCCACGATGATGACTTGCTATACATGCATGGCTTTCTGAATGGGCCTTGACCGGCCCATAGCCTGTTGATCGCAGCAATTTTCTGATCTTGTGTTTTTGGAAACGCGTTGTTTCTTCCATCATCACCGTTGCATATAGCGGCTAGTTTCTGGTTGTCATCAGACTAACAGTATCTTGTACAGTATGACTCCAAGCGGGTCAAGTATCTCTCCGATCGACTCCTTAACGGCCTCCTAGCGATGGAGCATACGCAACAGAACGGCCACCCCGATCACTTCTATCCCGGTTGTGTGAACGTTTCGTTTGCCTACATCGAGGGTGAATCCCTCCTAATGGCTCTCAAGGACATTGCCCTCTCGTCTGGCAGCGCCTGCACGTCAGCATCTCTCGAGCCCAGCTACGTGCTCCGAGCGTTGGGTAACAGCGATGAGAGTGCGCACAGCAGCATTCGCTTCGGTATCGGCCGATTTACCACAGAGGAGGAGATTGATTATGTCCTTGACGCTGTGAGGAACCGCGTACAACATCTCCGCGATATCAGCCCTCTTTGGGAGCTTGTCCAGGAGGGTATCGATCTCAACACCATTCAATGGAGCCAGCACTAGTATCTGCCTGGCCGTGTACCATCAACTACGAGCTAAACGTTGTCGTCAAAGTGAGGAATCGAACAACGTTGGGGGTGTAAGCGAATATATGAGGAAGGGAAGAGATGCTCTTGGCACTTGAGCACCCGTGTATCATCACTTTATACCTCTCCTGATTTAGAATTTCGGAGTTTTTGTCCCAGGTCTCATCGTTTCAACACCTCAGATTCTAGGATGGGGGAAGACTTTGCCTTTTGCGTTCTGCTCTTGTTTTTTTTTTTCTGCTTCCCGCTCTCACCCTTACCATGTAAAATTTCTTTTCTTCACTGCGGAGTTGAGGGTCTGAGGTGCTCGAATTTGAGAGGCAAAAGGGTCTTGGGTCCAAGGTCGGGGAGGGATTGCGAGACGCAGAATGCACACATACCTGCCTCTAGCTAGTTATTTGATATCCAGATTTGTATACATAACATACTTTGAGCTGCCGACCTACGAAAGGAATACACGGCAGTCTCTTCAACATTGAACTCCAAGCCCATTCCACAAATAATAGAGGGAATAATATTGAAGCGTTCAACATACTTCGTACTTGGAACGGGGACCTGGGAGCCTTGTGCTCACATCCCCCACCTTTATTCTCATAATACCACCCTGCCGAAACGGGGGTGCGGGTTAATTCCTTCCTCTCCTCACTTTCCGCTTTGGGTTCTCCATCGTATTACATCGCTCTCATGAGAAGCTGCCGCTCCAAATTATCGTTTATGCCATGCGCATCATCGATATCACATTTTTGGCGTGTTACACCGGATACAGAACGACGTTGATTACCCAGGGACGCCCCAGGCTACCACCACCCCCAGCATCGTCATTTACACCAACGAGGCTCTTCACACAGCTCCCACGAACGTGCGTACCACTTCCGCTCCTGAAAGAACGGGGAGGGGTGTCAGCCGGCCAGCCTCTTCGCCGATCGTGCAATTGGTAAGAATGTCACGGCCCAATGGGGACGGGCCGCTGCCCCTGCCGTCAGACTGGGGGGGTAGTTGATGGACGCCAGGCTGGGAAAATTGAAACCCATAAGAGCCTCTTCTCCCCTCCCCGCAATCAGCTGTCACCAACCCACCTTTCTTGGCTTTATTTTTTCTTCTTCTTGAGAATCTTCATTTATAGTTTACTTGTCCCTTTTCCAGTCCTTGAACGCGGGTTGTATCGCGATGGAGGACTCGTCCGGTCTCTTCGCGGATGAGGAAATGACCATCCCCACTCGCTACACTAAACGCCAACGAGAAGCACTTTCAAGATTAAAGGAAGGGATCCGGGATGCACTCGAGGCGGACGGAAACCTTCTGAAGGTCTTAAATCTCTGGCTTGCTCAGGAAAGAGCAGACCTAGTGATGAGAGTTAGTCGCGGAAAGTGGCATGCCTCCGATATGTGGTGGTTGTTTCGCAGCAAGGAGGGTACATCCAGTATTGACGAATGTTTTGATTCCCCCATATATTTCCGGGATCGTCTCCATTGCTCGAGGCCATCTCAAAAAACCAATTTGACAATGTCTGCTTCCTTTTGCAGAAATTTCCGATCGCTCTTGAGACCAAGTACGGGAAATTTCAACAAACTGCTCTGTCGGTCGCCGTGGCCAAGGAGAAGTGGGACATAGCTCATGAGATACTTAAAAGCCCCTCCATCCGGCCATGCTTTTATATCAACATCGGTGACTGTGATGGGAACACGCCGCTACATCACCTAGTAGAGCATGCGAGAATCAAAACCCAGGGGCTGAGGTGCCACCCGACGTCGAACGTCTCATTCGAACATTGTTGCAACACGGCGCCAACATCGACGCCATGAACAAACATTTCCGGACCCCTCTTCACGCCTTTATAAAACGCAAAGGTTTGACAGATGAGAATAGAAAAGGGTGGATGGCCATCCTTCAGATTCTTTTAGAAGCCGGAGCCGAAGTAAACGTGAAGGATCTCTATGGTACGTTTGAAGATGGCATCTATGGATAGATGCAGATTTCTACTACACGAATATGGAGCATTGAGCCCTAAACAAATGGCGTTCACCGCGCTAAAGGAGTCATGCGACGAACGGTTACTGACATGATTCCTTGTACCTAGGAAACTCCCCGTTGCATGTTGCCTGCACCATGAGAGACATTCCGCTAATTGAGCAGTTACTTGAGAGAGGAGCGGAGTTGGATTGCCTCAATTTCGAATGGGAAACACCCTTTGAGGTGTTGCGGAAGCAATATGGGCCGCTCACTTCCGAAGAACTAGAGTTTGCGAAGCAGAAGACGGGCAGTCTGCAGACAGCAACTGCGAAGGATAAGGCAGGCGCCCCAAAGCGACCATCTCAGGAAACCTGCGACACAGAAGCCAGAAATGTCTGTGATAGCTTCCCAATCTATCTCCGCTACCAGGTGGTTTCCACCGACGGTGTAGCCGTGTCATGGGTACCGACAGATTACAAGGCCTCCCATGCTCTGTACCGCGCGCCGGTTTCGGACGCCGGTGGCGAACCGCCTGAGAACCAGAATAAGCATTTCTTGGAATCTTGGAAGGAACGCTTCATGAAAATGGTAGATACAGATGTGATTCCTGAGGTGATCCAGCCTCAGGCGGAAAACGTGGAAGTGGCCTCAACCGAGGATAAACCTGCTACGCGGGCAGACGGGATCACTGCCAATAGCGAGCCCAATGAAGAGGCACGGGAGCTCAAAAGTGAGATTGGGAGGAAGGCGTGGAGATGGATCAACTTTCCGTCAAATAATGTAAGCTATCCAAGAGCCTTGGATAGGAGTATGATGTTTCACGGCTAACAGGTGAATTAGATGACGTGGATCAGGGTATGGCTTCCGATATCATTAGATGTCGCAATTCAATCCACACGCTCACGTTCATCTCCAGCTCACCATGCATCTTATAGGACTTCATAGTAAACAATGTCAAGGGCCCAGGAGAGACCCGGTACGACGCAGAAGTTGATGCCCGGACATGGCAATTCTGGGAGAGCAGCATTAAAATTCGCGAAACAAAAGATTCCACTTTCCGGGTCCGGGAACCTCATGTACTGGTTAGTTAGCCTCCCTCTCCTGCCATTTTTTCAACCGAGTCTCCAAGATTGGAAACTGAGTTGTCGCTAGGTCAGCAAAGGGGAAGGGGATTCCATCCCGACATCCCAGGAGGGTAGTAGTAATCTAATGGATCTCCCGTGGGACACGGCGCCAGTTTATACACCGCCTAAAAGCCTGATATCAATAGTGGTAAGTGGTGATCCCAGACTCGTCATCGCCTCCACTAAGGGGGCGGACGGACAAAGAGACCAGCTTTAATAGCGAGCTTTAGGTACCTTTCTTGGATATCGAGACTGGAGATGAGACTCGACTCCGGGGTGGCCGTAAAGCGCCGTATTTGGAGAGGTTCGAAGAGCTTGAGCGAGCCTATCCCCTTTTACCGGGAAGCAGGGAGTACAGCAGGTACAGAGCTTGGATCAAACTGCCAACAACCGACGACAGGAGATATCGCCACTCCAATCAACGAAAGGCCAAGTCGTTTACAGGTGGTCATTAAAACGAGCGGCCCCCAGCACGAACACGAATCCGTTCAGTCGGGCCCGGCCTCTTTGCAAGGGCAGCAACCCAATCTCTCTTCGCCAGCAGAGAACCCTATGCAAGCTGGTGTGCAGACTGACGGAATTGCCGAGGCTAGGCGAGGCGACAGGGCTGCAAATTTCGCTACGTCGGGGAAAATTCGCCTAGATGGGCAGCCCAAGTGGCTCGTTGTTCGCCAGCTTTGGTTGTGGAAGCTTGATGACGGTGTGTGCATGTGCCGTACTTCTCTTTAAACCCCCTTCCTTTTCAATGATTCTCATCAGGGCCTATAACCTTGTGCTAATTGGCTTCCAGATACCCTTCTAACGGCGATTCCGTTCCGCAGAAATGAGCATTCGTCGGACAACTTGATCGAAACAATTCGCCAGGGAGACTTGGGGGCAATGGAAAACGTAAATGATCTTGTCAAGCGCATCGTGTTTGAAGCCGTGACCTTCCCAGACGAGTTTAAATGGGCGGGGCTAGGCGAGCACATACTAGACATCTTTGAAGAAGAGATTGCACTCGAGGTACCGCGCATCCTGCTTGTTCCTTTGAGAACATAGATGCTAACAGCAGATTTGCGTAGGCGGACAAGGAGACAACCTTCTTCCACACTTTTGCTCACTCTGATTCGACGCCTCGAGCTGCCGCCAATGACACCATTATCAAGGACGCCGCCTCCTCCACCCTCCTAGTCAAGGATATCCGTTCTGAGCTTCGTCTCCTTCGTAACCTTTTCACCGTGCAACTACAGGTAGTCCAGGACCTTGCCAAAGAGTTTTGGCCACACGATGACTCCCGCTACACTCTAGGTGCGAGTTCGACCGCTCGAAAAGCACTGAGAGAAGGGTTCATCCGTGACAGCGGCCTCCATACCCTGATCGAGCGCGTGGATAACCTTGACAAGGACGCATCAGCAACACTAGTAGGGGTAAGGTCTGACCCTCGATGCAATTTTGCAACTAGCGCTAACGACTGAATACTCTGTAGCTTGGCAATATTATCCAGGCCATGCAGGCACAGGCTTCGCTGAAAGAGGCGGAGTCTGCGAGACTCATGAACCTCATACTTTTGCCCTTTACGATCGTCACTGTCATATTTGTAAGCTTGCCCATTTTCTTCCTACTCGTACCCCTCCCTACCTCTGATGGCCGAGTCGCGAGAGTCAATGCCATTAACTAGACTACACCCAGACACCCCTTTCCTTCCTAACAAGCTTGTTTGCCGTCAACACCACCAACTTCCCGACGAACGATGATGGAGAGGTCCGGCTCACCCCGGCCTACTTTAATTTGAGAATGGGTAAGATATGATTTCCAACATCCATTCTGGGTTCTGCCACGATGTGTTACTAACAGGCGTGAAGTGGTTGGGGAACTTTCCAGCCTACTACCTCTCGCCTTGCTTATCCTTGGGATATATCGGTATCAAGCCGAAGCTCGGAAACCCACCCACGAGCGGAGTTGGATGTTCAAGGCTATGGACTGGGTGCGACGATTGCCCTCAAGGGCGGACAGGCTAAAGGAGGAGGCTTCTACGGTGTAGAGTGCGAGGTGTCGGTGCCAAAGTTTCTCGATAAGCATTTCTAAGTCGCGCGCAAGTCTTATATATGGCAATGGTTTCTCTCAATCCCCGTGCCTCGGATATGTCTGGCCCTGATCCTGGGCCAAAAGGTGAGCAAGGCTGAGCAAAAGCAGTGAGCGAGGTTAACGATGGCGGCTAAAGAGATGGTTAATCCAGAAAGTAGAGGGCAGAAAGCCTTTGTCATCAAGATTGTTTCGGGTTTGATTGAACCTTGAGCGTTCAAGACACTACGGACAAACAACCACGACTGCCCTCTCATTTTCTTTTTCCCATGTTGTCTTGAGAGAATGCGACTCAAAATGGGGAATTGAAGAAGAAGAATAAAGACAGCGTGGGCTAACGACCCTTCTTCACCATTGATGGATCTATCCCGGAATGGCGGTACTTGCATACAAAGGAGTGTCCCACACAATCCGGCCCCGGTTATATTGCGATCTTGCCTGGGACTAAAAGCTCGACGTGGTTAATTTGCTACCAAAGGACGAGATTTAGGCTCTCTCCCCTCCCCAGACTTTTTGCCAGACTTGTACTTCCCCAATCATTCCTCATCCTTATGGTACTTCGCTTTCCCTAAGCGGTGGCGAGCACTGGTACCCTCGTCATCAGGAAGCGGTAGTAGTTTCCGCACCGCTTAAGCGCAATGAAGAATCGGGGAACGGGCACCGCAGCTGGACAATCGAGTACATTGAAATGCAGTGAATAGATGAAGCATCCCAAGAATTCAGCAGGAGAGTAATCTGTCGCTTTATATTAACTCTGCCCGCCTCCACTCCTGTCTGACCAGGTGACTGAGGAGGACTCGTCAATGGCATTAGGACGCCATAATCCAAGCATTCGTTCTTCTCTCTCTCTTTTCTTTTGTGCGAGTACGTGTGTATCCTGTGTCTAAATCTCGAGTCTTCACTCTTGTCTTGGTGGAAGCCTTGACCTACGTTTGCCTCCATCCCCCTCTTCTCCCTTTTGCTTTTTATTAGAGTCTTTTTCTTTTTTTCTTCCTTTTGCTCTTTGGTTACCTCCAGACATCTTAGCTCGATCAAGCCTCTTCTATCCTTTGAGACGGAGAGAAAAACATCAAGTGAAAGCACGCCCTTGGATGTTAGTTTGCGCTTGGCGTAACTCAAAATTCTTCGTGGTGCCCCTCATTACGACATATCCTGCCTCTTCCCTCCCCTCTTCCTTGATATTATATAGCGATATTTTCTTTCGTTCTTTTCTTTCGAACGACCCTTATTTCGACAATTCCGAGGACCAACAGCAGACGCAGGACGTCACCAGGGAGGCGAAAAGGCGGCGCCGGATCAGGAAGGGCGAGCGAACAGGATACAATGGCGCCTCGGGGCGTCGTCTTCGCCTTAGCGTGCGCGATAACATCCGCCCGTGCTGCATTCACCAACAGCTTCGACGGCCTGACCCACGGGCGGCGAGTGGAAGTGTCGTGGGATAAGCTTAGCGCGGGGACCAGCCGGCGTACCTTTCTGGGAGGATCTTCAACGAGACGGAGAATGGCGTGGTTTCCTTCCAAGCCAACCTCTCGAGTAAGTGCCTTTTTTCTTTTGATGTCCTTCAAGTTTTCTTTTGCAATGCCTTCGAGATACAATGCGCGCGGCTTTCGGGGTTGGCAGGTAACACACGCCATGTGCCCACCTGGGAGCAGCTCAATAGGGCGTCTATAGGCTCGAGGAACCCCACCTGCTCACAGTCCATTCTCGTAGTTGGCATCACGGACACGACGTTCTCCTGGATCAACGCACCATACCCCCTTCCCTACATGCCGACAGCTCAGTACGAGCTAGAGCTTTTGCCCGAGAACCCGCCTGCTGCATCCGATGGCGCCTCAAACGGCCAAACCTCACTCGCAAAGTCGGACCTCTTCTACATAATTCACTCCAGCAGCGAAGAAGACGGAGGATCGAGGAATGTAAGTTCACCGACGGGAAAGAGAGCCCCTCTTCCTCATCCATCATCCATGATCCTTATTTTGCTAACGCGCCACTACCTCGCAAGCCGACCGTGATCACCGAGCCCCACCCGACCACGGAGCCGACGAAATCGCGGGGCGGTCCCAGCACTGCAATCATCATTGTCGCCGTGTGCGTTGGCCTCGGCGTCCCGATTCTTGCGGGCATTGGCGTTTGGATCTGGTGCATGCGGCGAGAAAGGCGGCGGCGGCAGTATGAGGAAAGCCGCAGGATAAGATATCAGACAATTATTGACTAACGACTGTTGTATTTACGATAAGATGATGCTGAGCAAGGCAAACACTGTAAGATTGCGTAGACAAAAATGACATTAGCAATAGCCGCGCCCTCCTAATCCCTTGGTGATTCGTCTTGTCTATCCTTGGAGGCAAGTCCCGAGTCTGCAGGCTCAAGTCCTTCCGTCCCATTTTCAATAGAGAGTCGAGCGGCCAGAGATGAGGCACAAACTTGTTAACTCGGAGCCTTAAGTGATAATTTATAGTTACTGCTGTAGCAAGTTTCTAGGTATCTATGAGTACTTCTTTTCTAATCTTTTTGTTGGCAAGACGCCCTCGTCTCCCCTTGGATACTCCAACTCCGGCTCCAGGAAAGCCACCACGTAGGTCACTGAAGCCTCTCAAAGTCTGGGAGTGGTTTTGGGACATACCATCCGCCCGTTCCTACCCACCTCACATGTACGGGCTTTGAAAAGTTAGAGACAGAATAGCTTTCTTCTGACTTGATACGGGATGGACCTTCTCCAGGACCGCCTCCGGTTTCTCTCTTTCCTCACCCTGTTCGCCCACCGTCTGCGTATCAGCCAACCTTTAGCCAGCTACCTAAGCGCCGAGTACACATGTGTCGAACTCGATGAGACCCTTGACATACCTAAAGACTCTGCTGATTCTTTGTCCTGCCATGCGTCTTGTTAACCACGCTTGACGATAGATTGGGGGCGCTGAGGCTCGCCTCTGCCTCAGCTCATGTTGTCGGAGTATCCTGTTGATATGGCGCCTACTCTGTCGAGCGGTTCTACGGGTCCGAAAACGCGCCCCCATGTTTCCCACGGCCTTTGAGATGCTAGCATTTGCGTTAAGAGCAAATCTATTGGCAGCGAACACGACCCAGTCGCCGGATAAGCATGCTCGTGGGGACCGAGGACGTCAATAGATGTAGATAGATATGAGCGGTGCTATAGGTCTCATCTAGGAAGGGGAATAAGGTAGTAGAATAAACAATCGCCAACCGTAATGCTACTAGTGTCGAGGTTTTGAAGCCAAACCCCGAGTGCGCCAAGAGAGAGAGTGGTTGAAAGTGCAGATACGCCTCGGATTCACAACGGATACTAAACGAATTTCCGATTCTCGCTGACTCGACACGCCCCACACTTGGGTTCTAAAGGCAGGCGCTTTCCACGCCGCGATGGTACACAGGTAGACAGACTTATGCCATCTATACGATTGCACTCTTCCCAGTGACTAACGAGGACGTAAGAGAAATGGGCCAACGGAGAAGGAGCGAGTGTCCCCATTGCCTCTTCCTGTGACAGTATGCGAATCTTGCATGAGTTACGAGCCGAGTCTGGACAGTGATAATGCCAAGTACAGGATGCAGAATCTCCTGGACTGAATGGTCTATCTATGAAAGGAGTCCTTGCACAGAGGGACGGGTACGCGATGGTAGAGCATGGGCCCGTCTTGGATCCGCCCACCACTGCGCCGCTGCCTTCATGGGAAAATAAGCAACAGCTGGCTGCGAGGCCTATACTAGCTCAAGCAGAATTCCCTTGCTAATAACGAAAGGGTAACCGGCCCTGTCGGGGAGGGTTGGCCACGCTACGTGAATGAGACGGCGGTGCTGCTCATCTCCGGCCCGGAGTGGGGCCGGACTTACCCGTCCGCCTTCCTCTCGACGCCTGTGTCAGGTGTTGCTCAGTGACGAGAGCAACTTGGATTACAAACCCCCACCCTCCTGGAGCAAAGTGGGTTGGCCGGGTTTCCTCTTTGGCAGAACCATCTCTTTTGTCTTTGTCGCTGCCATAGTGTAGGTCTGGAGGAAAAGGACCCCGGATCCTCTAGTCTAGTTCTACTATCCGAGTCCGATTCCGGGCCTATGGCTGCAGTCTTGCAAGTGAGGTGGCGAAGAATGAAAGAGGCTGGAACTGCCAGCTCCATCCCTCATGGATGCATGCAAAACCATGCTCTCAGCAGGATTTCGGCCTCGAAAACGGCCGCCATCACGGTCAAAGATGCCACTTCATTGGCACATGGTCCGGGATCAAGCATGTCGGCACTTTGATCTCTTGTTTCGTATTTTCCCTCTTTTTCCGAACTCGAGCTCAGGTACAGTAGTGTACATCAATGCAAGACGGACGGAGGTTCTTGCCTAGTCTGGAGGGGAACGAACAACAGAGCCCGCCTCTTCTTAGGAGGCCCGAGGTGAATCCCCTTGCCAGCGGACACAGGATTGGTTTTTCCCGCCTGGTGAGCGGCAGCTGCACGGACTTTGACGTAGTGACCAGACCAAAAAAAAAAGTGTCTGGAGAGGGGTTGGGTGGTATCCATGTATGCAGCTTTGCACTCGAGCCTCTCTCAAGTTGTGGAGACCAGAAACGACAGGGTTGTTGATTGGCCGACATTGTTTCCTTCCATCGATGACGGAAACCCGTCAAGCAAATCGTTCTTTAAAAATCACTTTTGAATCGGATGTTCACCACTAGCTCGACGCAGCCTTCTAGTTGACGAGCTGTTAGTAGCAGAGCCTAGAGTTCCAGGCAGGCTACAATGCTGTATCACGTCTGGGATGGCGGGGAGGCGAGACCTCAGTGTGCTTGGCCCGCCATCTCCCAGTTCGTTGGTGCTGAAAGAGTTCGCCGCGCCTCAGGGATTGGCCTTGCAAGCCCACCTCCCGCTTTTCACCCCCGTACATGGGTTGGGTCTCTTTGGTTGAGCTGGAGCTTGGGGTAGGTACCTGGATGATGGGTCAGATGGCGTGTGAGCTATGGCGTGCGTCAAGAGAGACGACAGCTTCCTTGCTTCGATCGAGCCTTCTCCCTCTTCTTTATCCTTGGGAACTCCTTTTCCGTTTCCCTTTCCAAGGCAATCATTCCCTTGCTCCATGACTACGGCTGTATAGATTTAGCAGTAGCGCGAGGACACAACTGTCACACCGATAGCATACGAAATGAGAGAGAACCCTCCAAGCGAGGCGTGGCGGAACTGTTTCTTTCTTTCGCCCGTTCACCGACCTTCAGGGTCCTACTCAGATCCCAACCAACGAGGATGAGAAAGAATAGTACGATATTGACATGTCCTGGTCCTAGGGGCATGTCCTGGTTCTAGGGGGCAACAACCTATACACTAGAGGAGAAGCCGTCGAGAGCGCAAATTTGTTCTGCCCCCATCTTTCATAGCCCTCCCAACAGGAACCTGGGTGGAGGACAGACGCTAGTGTCGATCGCCCGGCCGGAAAGGAACAATTAATATTACAGCCATGTGCACCGACATGTTGAATGGAGCCTTTGTTCTGGCTGGCCCGAGCCATTTCGTCCGTGGAGCGGGGCCCGGCATCATGGGCACTTGGGGACCTGTCCCCTGGTCGAAGCTTGGACTTATGAGGCTCCTACTAAGGTCTCCTGGAGAACAATACGATCTTGGGTGAGATCGTGAGAGGGGAGAGGCGATGCGGCACAGCAACAGGGATAAAGAAAACGTCCAAGAGCCAGGAATACCACTCCAGAATCTCCGGCCCGTCATCGAGTAACCTCTGGCTCAAAAAGAAAAAGAAAAAAAACATACGAAGCATATAATTTCAACCCCCAAAAGAACAACCCAGCCAGGCGGGATCTGGGGTACTTGTAATGAGGGCGGGCGGTGGTAGGACACCTCATTTTCCCAGTCCGCCTTCTCCAAGAGTGACGACATGTGTTTCTGACCACACCTTGTCCCCCAGGCAAGTAGGACAGAGAGACTCAAGACGCAAGTAACTGCTCGAGCAGCCGGTGCAGAAGACAGTGGCAGTCCTAGAGTAGCAGGCTGAAGATGCCCGCCTCGCCATTCCAATCGACTTGAAGCTGATGTGTGGAACGGCATCTTAGTAGCTCGATTGGAATTGTGTGTGGCCTTTCCCCTTCAGCATATCATATCCACGTTGACATGATGGAGTTCTTCTACATGTAGTCTACTGCTAGTGATGCTCGTGCATATGGGACATGGGGGTGGGGAGCATCACGGTCGAACACCCTCTCCTATGTTGATTCCTACGAAGGTCGGCCCTTGCAGCGGGAAATGCACAAGCTAGTTAGTCGCCCCGAGGTTCTCAACTTCAATATTATACATAGAGCTAGAGCACGGATTCTCAGTTGTCAGTGGTGAACGATGGGGTACATCCGTGTAAAGACTGATACTTGATCGTTTGGAGTGGGCATGTAAAAAAGCGATGAGCGAGGACCTTTCAAGTAAAGGTGGTCAGGGTCAGGGTCAGCGAGTCAGACAAACCCCCAAACATGAAGGCACTGATACAGAAAAGGGAGCTCCAAAGGGGCTTACGGGATGGGATATTTCTGGAATTCCTTTCTGTTGCTATAGAATATTCTTGACGCAGGGGACCTCGCTTGAACCCCAAGAACATTGAAGTTGATGGGTGAAGCTACCAGCAGCTTCAGGGATCACGAGGGGGTCAAGAACAACAAGTGTAGTTAAGAGCAACCGGCTTGGCGGCCAAATTATCAATTTCCAATTTCTGTTGCCTTCTTGATCAGGCTAGCACCACATCGCCATTCCTTTTAGCTTGCCACTAGCTAGGGGTCATCGTTGACAGCGTTTGGTCGGACCTTGAAATTACTTCGTACATTGATTAATTCCCGGAAACTCTACTTTGTACGGAGACAAGCAGACCAGCAAGTCACCAAGTCACCCGAAGCCGAAGGACTCGTTTTCCGTCAAGGGACCATACTAAGAACGGCAAAAGCATCATCGGCCGACGCAGTAGGGGGCGGCGCAGGCAAAAAGCTGGAGAAGGCTGATTGATATACACTAGATAGTCCCACCGTCACCATGCTCCTGCCCGAAGGGCGCTGGCGCCTCGGAGGTGGACCCGCCGCTGCGGTCTGGCAGAATGAAGGTGATCCACAAACCTGCCAATCGGCCGTAAAAGATGGTTGGAGAAGTGGAGGGACGATGTGGCTAATACGATGGACTGAAGAATGTCGGATAGGGTGCTGGGGCCTGGCGGGACGTTCGGTGCGCTTTCGGACAGCGA